TATAATTTAAAACACTAATTTATCTAAAAATATGTGTTAACATATATATGTCAGGTTACATAGATATTTCATATAAAGTTGTTGTAATTTTTGACATTTAGTCGACTTTTTAATATTAGAATCGACTCTTATGGGTTAAGAGTTGATTTTATAAAGAACATAGTCGACTATACGCACCACGGGGAACTTCCTCTACTCTCTGGAATTTGGGAGTCGACTGTTGCTTATTTATAGTCGACTCTTTGAGGAGTTAGAGTCGACTCTTTATGTGTAGAGTCGACTCTAACCTGCAGCAGGATGCTCAAACCTCTCTGGAATTTGGCAGTCGAATGTTGGTCATATATAGTTGACTCTTTAAGGCTTTAGAGTCGACTCTAACCTGCAGCAGATGCTCAGACCTCTTGAATTTGGGAGTCGAATGTTGGTCATATATAGTCGACTCTGTGAGGCCTTAGAGTCGACTCTGTGAGGCCTTAGAGTCGACTCTTAATATATAGAGTCGACTCTAACTTGCAGCAGAATGCTCAAACCTCTCTAGAATTTGGGAGTCGAATGTTGGTCATATATAGTCGACTCTTTGAGGCCTTAGAGTCGACTCTTAATATATAGAGTCGATTCTAACCTGCAACAGGATGCTCAAACCTCTCTGGAATTTGGGAGTCGAATGTTGGTCATATATTGTCGACTCTAGAAGGATTTAGAGTCGATTCTTCATGTATAGAGTCGACTCTAACCTGCAACATGATGCTCCAACCTCTCTGGAATTTTGGAATCGAATGTTGCTCTCATATAGTCGACTCTTGATGGCTTCACAGTCGATTCTTGATGTATATAGTCAACTGTAACATGCAGCAAATGCTCGAACCCCTTTAACATGCCCCAACTTTTATACTTTTTCTTATTGCACTTTGATTTTACCATAGCACATTACATATATTGTCATTTATTATTGTTGACGACCACTTAAGATTTTTTCAAAATAAATTGAAAAAATCAAGGGTGAAATATATAAGAAAAAAGGAGTCGCCACTCGTCCAAATTGTAAGGTGGGACAAGTTACCTAAAACGGGTTTGCGTAGAGATCGGGGTTCGGGGGTTCGGTTACGAGTGAGGAAGGACATACGCGCATCTCACAATCCTCCGTTTAAACACGGTTGCATACTTTAAAATTGGGGGTTTTGAATCAACTTATTCATCATTTTTATGTTGAGTCTTAACAAGCAAACTTGAAAAAAAGAGATAAACCAAATTGAAACACTTTTTAATTTTTGGACTGAAAGAAACAAAATCAAAAATATGCATGCACAATAAAC